GAGTTGATATCTCCCAACTGAGAATAATATTGAACCTGTGATCTTTTTTAATTTTTGTAAAAATAAACTTATACATCTAATATTTATGTTGAACATATAAATAAACTATTACATTAAGTATATACTTTACTAGAAAATAAAACAGAGGAACTTGTTAAACCTATTCATTAAATTAAACAATACTCTGTCATTCTAACTCATTGTTTTTTTATAACTTTCTTTTAACTACTTCATTAAAGAGTTTGATGGATGGTTAAACCATTTCTGTAAATAACTGCTCATGCACAAATTAATCTATTATTCAGTAGTATTTAATGATGTTTTGATAATATATCAGTTCCATTCTAATTTTTTTAATTATTTTCTATTGTTTGTATTTTGTTTATTATATTTCTTTATTGATAAAAATTGGGACGAGAAAAAAGATAATTGAAGGAAATGTGTAAACAATTAGAATAACAAAAATAATTATTTATTGACAAATGGATTTAACTCTTTGTATAGTGAACCTATTTGAAAAAGAACATTGTCATTCATACTTAATAAAGGGTAATCAACAAAGAAACTTATTTCTAAAATAAATCAGCCTTTAGAGTTGTGACATGTCATCAAAACCCACACACACTCAAACTACTCGAAGCTATCTTGATTGGTCGGAAAAGTCCAACTTTATGTGTTCAAAAACAACTGTACGTTGACCTTTGTTTACCATGGTTCTAGTAAGTGAATGTCATGCTAAATAAGAAATTTTGACCTTATCTTCAAAACTGTATTTACACGAATAACATGTTGCTTGTATGTGACTGACGAGAAAGCACGAAATGGTACTATCTCACAAAATTTGTCTTCTCATTTCTCTGTTATGTTTATCCCATCTAACAGATTGTTATTTTATTTTAATTAATAAATCATCCTTCTTTTTTAATTGCTATGTTGAATAATTTTCACTGAACAAAGAGAAATAGATTAAGTAATATTGTTGATGGATATACTTATTATTAATGAATGCAACCTATGACGTCAAGTTAAATATGGTTATAAGGAAATTAGACTGGGGATTTGAGTAGATGAATTTAAAAAAAAATTGTGTAACAGTTGATGGTCGCTTTATGTGCTAATACTTAATGACTTATTTAAGATCAGATAGCTGGTTTACTTGTCTTTAAACTAATGAACTGGTTCTGGATAATTCTTTCATGATCTATAGCTTTATAAAACAAATCTGGAAGTCGATTTTCGTATTTTTGAGGAATCGACAATTTTCTTTTGAAAAACTTTAACGATTTTCTGCATTTAATGTTTAACCGTTCGAATACTTTTTATTTAGGATTACGTCAAGTTTCTTATCCATTTCACCAGTCAGATAAAAATACAGTATACAACTATGTAGAGATCAGCATTCATACAATGGCTCAAAAGTAACACCGGTACGAAATGATGATTGCCCTTTAATTAACCGGTTAACTTGAAGGATATAAAAGATTCATTAATGAATGTCAAAGTCATATTCTTAAACAATTCATTTCTTGTCATCTTATTTATTCCCAAGAAGGAATAAATTTTCTCATCCACTTACTACGTAGGCAGGCTCAGTACTCTCATTATTGATGGTTTGACACTAGGTCGTTATATCAATTTGTGGTGTGCGGTATTAAGACTTGGATTACAATGCTAGGTCTTAAACTACTTCCTAATATCTATTTCTTTTTTCATTACTTTTTTTACCATTATTCTCGTCAGTTTTACACTCTTACATTTGATATTTATTCATTTAAGTGAACAAATAATTGCAGAAACACTTAAGTATATTATCAGTTGATCTAAAAATATAGAGTACAAATGAATTAAATGTTACCTGCAAATGTCATTGCCAAAATACTACATCTAAAAATGTTATTTAAAATAATTTGAAATGACTCAATTTTATTAGCGATCGTGGATGCTTACTGCTGAGGAGTCCCATAATAGGATAAAACGGCCATCCAGTGCTTCCAGGTTTTTCATGGTGATCTAGCTTCAATTGACTCATGATTACATTTTTATTACTATATATTAATATTATTATATATCCTTTGATTTATCGAAGGGGGTAAGGGTCGTTTCATTCTAGTTGTAATATAACTGTATCAAAGTGGCATTTTTTCTTTTTCAGTTTATGAAATAAAGTCAGTTGAATATATTAGACATCTTTTGAAAAGTTATTTAATTCGGTTAATAAAGACGGATAATAATTAGTGTATACAATTTATTTCTAAGATATTCTGAAAATAATAAATTTAAGACTCAGCAAGTTAAAAGTCTTTTGGAAATTGTTTTTTGATTGATGTTACCCGAAGCCAAAAACTAGCTTAGAGTTATATTGATGGGTAAGTTAATTAGTATATTTTACTTTAAGAATGGTATGAAATGTTGTTTAAATTTTATTGTAATGAACAAATTCAACAGTTTAGAAAACATCCTATAATATGTTATTCAATTCGACATTTTGGTTAGCAATAATCGCATGACAGAAATAAAAGTTTATCGCTTTATCACCTAGAAAACTATAAACGTCAAAGAATTTTAATACGATTATTGTAATTTTTTCTTTCTTGAGATAATATTCATTAGCTGTAGTGAAGATAGTAAACTTTTGAACTTGTCGTACAGGTGAATATAAAATACCAGTAACATAACAACTGAACTTTCATTCATTTTTTGGGGGGGGGCGTTATTACAAAGTAAACGTCAATATGTAATAAAACGGATTTTTATTTATTCTCAACATTATCAGAACCATTCTTTAAGCATCGAGTCTAAAAATTAAAGAGTACTCGGTTTTACTTTTATTATATTTGGCTAACAGGTGATTCAGAACTATAAAAATATAGAGGAAATCCCTAAAGAAATTATTTGGCATTAATTCATGTTTGGTTACTAACTACGCAGTATTTAATGAAACCAACAAAAAGAAATGTTTTTTTAATGAAATATACAATTCATGGTTACGGTTCCCTCTGGTGATCGTAATGATTTTTAAAATCCGTTCATACAACGATTACACTAGATCATTGTAAGCAAAGATATATAGTGGCTAGCAATAGAATCCAGAATGCGCGTTTCGTTCTATTCGGGACTCGTCAGCTGGATGTACCTGCATCTCAGAATTGATGTTCACTCTATGACTCGAACCCAGTATCTTTCGCTTCAAACGCCATCGCGTTATGTACTCGGCTACTGAGTTCTGACAGCCACTAGCTTGTGCGATTGGGTGAAGTTTAGATTCACTTAGTATTGTTTGTTTGAATCTTCCCATTGATGTTCAGGACTGCAACTGATTAAACTAGATCAGTTTATGAAATTATTAGTTACCATACAGTATTTCATATATTTAATACCAAGTTACTCGATAAACTATTTTAACAAGAAAAATTAAAATGGAGAGATTTTAATACTCTAGAAACTATAATTAATATTATCCTCCCTAATCATTAAAATTAATCATTCATTAGGAAAACTTTCTTGCAGAACAATATTTATGGAATTTGATTTCTCCGCTAATTTACATATTTAGCTAAATGATTCTGAAGGTTAAGTCAATTATAAATGACTTTTTTTGATAAAATCACAAAAATACTTTTTTCATGGTTAATATAATTAATTGGGGGGGGGGGTTAAAAAAACAACCGAAACTTAGCTAAATATATCTAAAGTATGTTAAATACTAATGAAAACAGCTTGAATTCATGTAACATATATTAAATATTCATTGTAGGCTAATACAATGAAGCTTTTGTGGATAAAATATCATCACTAATTAGTGTAGAATTAAAATAAAATTATGTCTGACACAGTAAGATTAAAAGAATAAAAAGGTCATAAGAAATTAACAATATAAAGTTTTAACAAAAACTTTGAAAGGTTGTGAAAGACTTTTGCAAATATTAACTTGGGTTGTTTCATTAACTCAATAAATATCTTGATCATACGGCAGAATACACTTGATTGAACAGTTAATTCAGAGTTGAAGTTTGACAAAAGTTATAAACTCATAACGTACTTTATTACGCCTGTTATCCCTCGTGGAGGAGCATAGACTGCACACCAGCATTCTCCATCCAAACCTGTCCTTTCCAGTTCTTTCCAGCCAACATTCATCCTTTCCAGATCTGTTTCTATTTCCCAGAGTAATATGTTCTTTGGTCTTCCACTTTTCCGCTTCCCTTCCGGATCCCAAGTTAGGAATTGCATCGTAATGCAGTTTGGTGATTTCCTCAATGTATGTCCTATCCAATTCCAATGTCTTTTCCTAATTTCCTCTTCAACTGGAAGCTAGTTCGTCCTTTCCCATAAAACGCTGTTCCTGATAGTATCCGACCAGTGAATGTTTAGTATTTTGCCTAAAAAACTGATTGTAAATACTTGTATCCTCTTGACAAAGGATGTAGTAGTTCTCCATGTTTCAGCTCCGTACAGTAGGACTGTCTTGACGTTCGTATTGAAGATACTCGCTTTGGAGTTAGTTGAGAGTTGTTTTGAGTTCCATATGTTCTTCAATTGTAGAAATGCTGCCCTTGCTTTGCCAATCCTCGCCTTTACATCTGCATCCGATCCTCCTTGTCCATCAATGATGCTTCCCAGTTACGTGAATGTTTCCACCTCTTCCGGAGTTTCGCCATCAAGTGTGATTGGGTTGGTGTTCTCCGTGTTGCATTTGAGAATCTTGGTTTTTCTTTTGTGTATGTTGAGGCCGATTGATGAAGAGGCTGCTGCTACATTTGCTGTCTTCGTCTGTATTTGCTCGTGTGTATGAGATAAGAGGGCTAGGTCATCTGCGAAGTCTAAATCATCTAATTGATTCTGAAATGTCCATTGTATTCCGTGCTTCCCTTCACATGTCGAGGTTTTCATAATCCAGTCAATCACCAGAAGAAAGAGGAAAGGGAAATAAAGTGATAACATTTTATAATAAATTTTATCTTCTATTAAACAATATACTAATTTGTTATATTAATATTTAGCTGTAGAACGTGGTAATGACTGTCCAGAAAGTCAACCTTGGCCTTGTCGAACACCTAGAATATGTCTATCTTTTGATTTTATTTGTGACGGAGAACCAGATTGTCCAGATGAATACGATGAAGATCCTGAAATGTGTACGGCAAGTAAGTTAAACATAATGTCTTTTTAAAATTCTAAGAAACAATTGTTAGACGATTTATCATTCAATCTAATTATTAATAATCCTTACAATAAATGAACTCATCTCGCTAGACAGAAATCAAATGTCTATCGTATTTATAAGGTTCGTTACAAGGAAGAGTGTAATATGTGATTTATAAAGTGTGCTTGATGAAGTTTGCTCGGTTAATTCTCATAAAATTCCTCAAAAACATACTCTATATCTCAAACGACATAATAATTCGATAGATTTATCATTTTTAACCTCATCTTATAAATTAGTTACCTTAAAATATTGTAAGCCAACATCAAAATGTTATTTCAACCTAATCTATTATGTCTACTACACTTATTTCCATGAATAATTGAACACTTGAACCGTATTAAGAAAACAGAAAGATTATTTTGGTGGCTGTCCAAATTCATTTTAATTGAAAACAAATTATACTATAATCATTTGAAACAGTAATATAATAACTGTGGTTTTTAATTATAATAATGAAACCGCATAACGAAATTTCTAATAAGCTTCGTAATGATCACCTAAGGTTTTGTCAGTCAGTGAAACTTAGTTACTTCATAACTTTTAACAGGCATCAAAACCATCTAAAAACGCATAAATATTGTATCAGTGTTGGATCACTTAATTTTAGCTGTGTCATGTATAATTCCTATACAATTATCTACAATAATTCGTATCAGTGAAACGAGTTGTTTAGAGAATAATTTTCATACTGATGGTTTTCATTCACTATTCAGTATAAACAACCGTATATCTTCAAAAATATATTTCATTAACCAACATCCCAGTTTTCTAGGATTAATTTTTATAAATTTTTATCATTTACTTTCTGATAGAGTTAAGACCAGCACAAGAACATTTAGCTGGATTTATACATCGTTATCAAAACTGGCTAGTACCAAAGTTTTTAGGATATGGAACGCCAGAAGAATTAGCTGCCAAACTTGTTGGTAAGAGATTTTATTTGATTTGGATATGTTTATTTTAAGTTCATAGGGTTACGCCAAAAAAAGAATTGTGTTAGAATTCAAAATCGAATTGTTTGCAGTGATATCTATTACTCAAATATAGTAGATCTTCACTATCACTTCATTCTTGTTTAATTTGATTAGTTTTAACGTCAATTATTAATGTTTAGTGTAGATGTTTAGCATTTTCAAGATTTTGACCTGATCTCCTAAACCCTCTTTGCAGTTAAGATCAGGATAAATACTGTTATCATCCAATTCAGCAACTCTTTCATGAACAAATAATTGTAAGTAATCTTTATAAAGAGTGATCTGAAGGTGTCTTTGATTTCATTCATTAAAAACCCATTATTTTCTACCTAATTCCCGTTGTTTCTTTAAATGATATAAGTTCATTCTTCATTTACTTTATTGAAAATGGTGTCAGGTCTCAGGATACAAATCATGCATCATTTTACAATCATAAATCAACTTGTGTCGTAGCATTACAAAATGAACCGTATAAACCTGCATATTTTTGTGTTAGGTGTATATTTTTATTTTAGTTAAGAAATTACTAATGTAATAATGAAATATCCCTTAGTTCCTATGATCTATTCATATGAGAACATTCTTGCAACTTTGAAAAACCAGTTTACGAATAAACACATTATTTTAAAGAATGACACCATTTATTGTAGTATATAACAATATAATACTGATGAATATAATAATTAAAATGCCTTTTTGAAGAAGACATATTATTTAAGTAAAATTCTCTTAAAGCTGACATTTTAGAGTCTCAGTAAAAACTGACACCATATTTGAAAAAAAAGCTGTTATTAAAAAGAAAGCTCTATTTGATTCTAAAGTAAAACTCTGTAAACTTAGAACTGACATAAAAAATATTTATTTAAACAGTTTTGTAAACGTTCAATAGTTTGCATTGAGTCACAGTGACTTGATACAAAATGCACTTGAGTTTTAACCAGTTAACTATAGATATGACAAATTTTACATAGTAACATAAAAATATAAATTTTATTTAGAGAAATTTCTCTTTTACATTATACATCTTCTTAAAAATGATATCTATCCAAATAAAAATTTCAGAGGCTAACAATGACTTAAAACTTTTATAGGACAAAGTTTATTTCGTTCCAGTAGAACGACTCATAGTTCTCAAGTCTCATTGTAATCTTTTTGTATGAACATATTGAGTTTATTTATTTATTTAAACATAAATATTGGTACAAGAAAGCACCAGATACATATGCGTCTCACAAATCTCATTTGATTTGTGTGAGGGCTGTGATACCACCCAGGCGCCAAAACTGAAGCAGATGGTTTTCTTAGGGGGCCACACCTGAAGCCTTTGACCTAAAGATCTGATCCACAAGGCAGTGGAGTATCGTGAGGAGATGCATTCTCATGGTAGCCGGTGACCAACGATTGGTTCATACGCCATTTGTTCCCTCAGGATACTGGAGAGCCTATGTGCATCATTGGTTTAGGATCAGAGTTTTCTAACTCCCCTAGATGGACTTTCCGTATCCACCAACCTGGTTAAAGCGTCAAGCATTCGCTTTTTGTCTTCTCAAGTTCGTGGAGAACACCCCTGCCACGAGAAAGCAGTGAGTAGGACTTCCCTGGCGGAGGCTATATACGCGTGGCCATATGAGAGCATTTCGAGAGGGAGAGCGGACTCTCCCCAATCTCAGCCGTACCAGGGCATTTGGGGGCGAAAATCTTGAGTCATTAACACTCTATGATAGGTTATCAAATCGTTTAGTATTTCTTCGAAATGTTTACAAAAATGGACACAGATGGATTCAATTGATCATAGATTACTAATAGAACTTTATAACTTTTCATTAATTATTTAATTATTCTATTTTTTAACCAGACAATCCCTAAAGTCTAATCATAGTAAAAATAAGAAAGCAAATATTTTTCTTATCTAAACATCAGACATTAGTTTTACTAATGAAGTGAATAGTAACTAACTTAAGGAAAATAATAGAAAATGATTATTTCTATTTGACTGATAATGATAATTATTCTTTTTTCGAATTTATGTATATTTATTGCTTTTTCTTATTCTTATTTAGTCTGTATTCTATATTGATTCTAGAAACTGTTTTTCTTTCCAGAACTATATTAATCTTGTTACTGACTGTTTCTAATTAATTTTTATTATCATAAATGAAATAAGATTATTTTGCTTTTTTTCATAATTCATTATGAATTAAGATTATAGTTGATTGACTGATTAAGATAAGGAAATACTACTCTATATGAATAATAATGCTTGTAAATGAGATATGTTAATTATACACGAATAGAATACATTTCTAGATGCATAAAGATGATTATATGTTCTGTTTATATATTATAATGAAAAAATAAGTTATTAAATAGGAATAATATTTTTTGTAAAAAATCTCAGCGAATGAATTCGAAGTAAATCCAACGTTTCGCCCTGGCAGTCTGATCCAAGCTTTTTCAAGGAGAAAGTTGAGATCTTACAATCATATTATTCCTATTTAATGTTTTACATCAACTTGGCGCCAAAATATTGTTAAACTATTCGCTCTAATTTAAAAGAAAGTTCTTACATGAAAAATAAGTGAATTTATAAATTCCAGCGCTACATAATGAATATATTCTCCTCTTAAAGAATACTAAAATATCTTACTTTAATGGTGATTTTGATTATTTTGAAGAAAAAGTTGTACTTCTTTTTATAATGTACTCATTCTTGAATGAAAATTATAGTAAATAAACAATTTAAGAAAAAAAGTGCTTAACTGTACTATTTATTCATTACTTATATACTATAAGAATATAATATCTTAGGAATGTAAATAAAATACCAATACATACACACATTGAAGTCGAAAAGTTGCATAAATCATCTTGTTGGTTAGAACACTGGACGGCTTTTTCATCCTACTATGGGACACCTCAGCAATGTTTCCAGGTTTTTAGTGGTGGTCTCCCTGAGATTGATGAGTAATTACAACTGCAAAAATACTACATACCTCACAAATTCTTCATAATGATAATAATCATGTGCTCAGTAGTGATTAGCCTCGAGATGTAACTCCTACAGTTCTGGTGAGATGCCATGACTAGTGGAGTCTAATTCGGGTTGAATGTAAGATAGTTATCTACTGCAGGGAATGGATGAAGTGTTGCCCAAGATCAAGGATTGATTAAAGTTAGACATCGACACAGTTGACTGCCAGCTCAGTGGTCTAGAGGTTAGGAGTTCATACAAGAGAGTGAGCGTGTTGGTTTCGAATCTCGCGCGCCGGATCGTGGATGTGCACTGATGAGGAGTTCCATACTAGGACAAAATGACCGTTCTGTACTTGCAGGTATTCAATGGTGAACTAGCTTAAATCAACCGGTGTTTTAAACTGAGAATGTAGATGCCATCAATAACTCTTATGATACTAATAATAACATGTATACAAAAAGTGTAAAATGTTCCTTTTATTAAAATACAACTTATAAAGAAATTTAACCCTTAAATTACTTCATCTAAATAACTACAAATTGTGTGGTACGAATAACTTAGAGATTGACCATCCACATTTCATTACATCTCCAATCAAAATGTAGAGGGAAGGAACAAGAATCGTAAATAAACTTTTCCTCCTGGAAAATATTTTATGAACTTGAACTACTAACGCAAAATTAAACTAATTTATCATATAGTATTACTTGTTTGAAGTGAGTTTAAACTTCACCCCATTGCACAAGCAAGTGGCTATCAGGACTCAGTAGCTGAGTGGATAAAGTGATGGCTTTTGATGCGAAAGATGCTGGGTTCGAGTCATAAAGTGCACATCACTTCTGAGATGCAATTACATACAACTGACGAGTCCCGAATATAACGAAACGCGCATTCTTGATTCCACTGCTAGCCACTATCCATCGTTGCTTAATTTATCATCCATTTTCAATGTTCACTCTATCTCTAGTAAGCGTATGGTTTTATTCACTACACTTAAATTAAATTTCACATATGGGTACAATTGAATTCAAATAATTTTACATTTTATCCACCCCCCTAAAGTCTACTCATTCTTAACTACTTAGTGAATTAAATAGAAAAGTGTTTTAATAAATGTAACATAATTAACATAATTAAGATATTTTAATTGCATTATATAAATTTAAATCATTCTATATAAAACACTTCCATACATTAAAATGAAATTTTTAAAAAATCTAGATATTTATATTTTATTGTCGCCAGTTAATATAATTTTATATACTACTTAATTGTAACAATATAAGTAGAACCGGTATGAAGCATTATAACAATGTTAGTTTGTTATTTGTTCGTACTTTTATTTTTTACGGAATATTTCAAAATATGATAACGAAAATCAAAGTAGGGAACATTTGCAACTTTTTAATATAAGTAATTGTTGGTGAGACTATAATTTATGGACGACTTTTGGGCGACGCTAAACTGACCTTGAAAGTATCCACCTAATAACTAGGATCAAATAAGGGTTATAAACCAGTGTGGGGAATTAGAATTATGATTTGCAGATGAAAGTTTAGCCTAGGAATTATATTTAGGGTTTTCATCGCGAACTGATATCAACTATAATCCCAAAGCTCTATTTAAAGAAATGGATGAGTGAATTTCGCGCCAAAATCCGATATCTGTTATCTTATACCTGGTTGATTCGTCCATAATTTATGGCCTCGCTTAATTGTTTAACATTTTTTCATCGGATATTTCTTAGATAGATATTGATGGGGTAAATGAAAATCTGTGCATTAAAGGAAAATAATATTTGTTCGTATTTATGAAATTGGAACGAAATAATATCTACTTTGGAAATTAGTTTATTGAAACATGGGAATTCAGTAACTAGAAATTCATAATTCATACAAACCTGATGACAGAAATAGTAGTTCCTAGCAAATAGGTTGTCCAAAACCAGAAAATCATTTTTATGCAAGATGTTACAAAAGATATTTATTCCAAAGAACTGAATGTTAGTCTTTTGTGAAAAGAACTAAAGACTTATTTTTATCTTCATATATAACTGGAAAGCCTTCAATAAAATTGGAAAACAAATGAGTAGGGCATTTGATGAATTATGTATTAAACTGAATAAGTATTTTTTATGTAATATGGCAAATGTAATTTACGATGATTATAAGATGAGAAAACCAATAGTTTTTAGATGAATATAGGATTGGTTGAAATAAAAATCTAATTCAGCAGTAACTTCATTATATTGACTAGTTTATTAACTTAATACAGTCAGTTGTAACTATCTAATAATATTTTAAGACGTACACTGAATTTATTGCAGTAAAGTTCATTCACTTATATAAGTCAGTCACTTCACATATATTTCTAACATTTAGTACAACTGAATTTTGATCAAACAAAAATTTAGTTTTTAGTGTAACTGATTACTTTAATTTATTACATTTTTAAGATGCCCCCCCCCAACAGCTAAAATGGATGATTGAACAAACAAACAATTAAAAATAATAAACGAAGATAGCAAAGGTTTATTCTAATGCACTAGTGCAAACATATAGGGTGGCAAAATCTGTTCAAAGAAATTTTTATGTGGTTAAAAGTCAAAATTTACAAACATACTTCATGTAGAGTTAAAAAGGATTACTTCCTATCAAAACGATATTTATACTTGATCCCAGCAGTCGTTATGGTAGGATAGATCAGAACATTTTGTAAGAGTACTTATTTATTTCTGTCCAAAAAAACTGGTACTTTTAATTACTGTTGTCATCAAAACACTCATTCTTTTTCATCAATCAAAAACCAGAAATGATCTTGCAATAACTCTTAATTGGATGATCAACTTCCGTATTAAGTTATTATGAAAACATTTCGGTTGAAATTTATTAATGGAAGTATACCACACCTTTTTGACACTTCATTATACGAATAAAGTGTAATGTCAAACGCTTCTTTATGCAAATGTCATTTTCAATGTTTAATGTAAATACATTACTCATTACAAACTAGAAAAAAAAATGCTTGAAAATTAAATGAAAAGTGAAACTTATAGACTTGTGAAATTAGTCAATTAAATTTAATGAAGATTTATCATTGATTAATTTATTAAGCTTTAAGTGTTTAACTTTCGAACACTAAATGAATAATGACAGTTTTTATATGAAGAAAAAAAAGTTTTTTTTCTAGCTTAAAAGCAATTGATGGTTGTAGTTGGGAACAAACTAAATCACAATCGTTAAGTGATTTTTTGTTTTTCAACAGTTTTGTGTTCTTGTTCTTATAACTACGTGATAAAACATCCACATTCAATTATCAATTGCATAACAACCTTGTTTATTTATTTATTTATTTAATTGTCCAATGACTTTCATTTGTTTTTTATTTTTTTATTTTCATATTATGAAATCTAAATTAGAAAGCAAAACTGTATCGGATTATGCAAGAGCAGCAAAATTAAATGAGACACAATTAAAAAATTTAATTAAATTAATGGAAGGTGTTAAATCAGGCAAAGAAATGGAATTATTTTTATTGGGTATGCCATTAGGTGCATGGAGTGAATTATATACATTATTTCATCGTATTTATATTAGTGGATTTTTAGATAATTTAGAACCAGCTGAAAATTTTCAATCATTAAATCGTCAACAAAAAGAAGAATTTTGGAAGAATCATATTTATCAACAAGTCAAACGTTTTCTTTAATAATTTTACTTTTATTGAGAATATATTTTAAAAAAACAAACATTTTTTTTGCTTATAAAATGATTTTGCTAAAATACTATGCAGAAACTTAACTATCTATGTTAATTATATGGGTTCAGTAATAATAATTATAATAATACTTGCAATAAGTGAATTGATGACATCTCTTATCATTCTAGTCTGATTGATTAAAATAAACATTATACAAAAAGAAATGTATTATACATTGTGTTCTTGTTAATTTGCTTACCTTTTTTATTTAAAAAAAAAACGAACAACAAGTGAATAATAAATTTGTTTATAGATGTGAAATGTAGACCAGTTATGGATTATTTAGTTGTTACAGTATACTAAAACATTCATTTTAATATTTGAGATCATGAATCAATTGAAGCTAGATCACCATGAAAAACTTGGAAGCACTGGATGGTCAACTCGTCCTATTATAGGATTCCTCAGTAATGAGCATCCATGATCCCGCTTCGCGAGATTCGAATCCAAGACAAGCCGTCTCGTGCTTCTAGGTTTTCCATGATGGTCTAGCTTCAACTGACTCATGATCTCAAATATTCAAATTAATATAATATCCACAAACCCCCCCCCCTCTGATACTAAAATATTAGTTATTTACCTATGAAATAAATAAACATAATAAACTGATTTTTTTCACATTAGTTGTCAGAAGAACTAAATAAATTTTTAGTGCAACGTTTCGCTAATCTTTCAACTATATAACTGTTATAATACAAATTTCAATGGTGTATGAAATCAGAATGCAAAGAGAAGCTGTAACCACAGTTTATTATCAAATAACGCAGGTCAGAAAGTTACAAGCACATGAGTAAGTATCAGCGAACAAACGCGAGCAATTACATAGGTAAATTTATAGTCAAATTATATAAGGGTACAGCAAGAAAAAGAAAAAGCCATTAATGGGATTTGAGTGCATACATATATGGGGGGAGGATGAGTCATCGAATGATATTTAATCTGTCACGTTTCGGCTCGAGTCTGTCACGTGTTCTAGTGCGCATAACGGTACAAAGATAAATTCGAATTGTTACCATACAAATGACAACGTCTGTTAAGTATGCTAATAAAAGGGCTTAACCAAAAGTAAGCATAGTCGAAATCAGCTATAGGATAGTCGACACAAAATGATGGATAATGTACAACTTGACGAATAGTAGATAATTTTAATGGTTGAATTCATAAGTCGATCTAAGCCAGGCCACTACTGAAAACCTGGAAGCACTGGATGACCGTTTCGTTCTAGTATTGGACTCCTCAGCAGTGCACTTCCACAATTCCGTATGTATAGTTCTAGCTTAGACCGATTCATGAATTCAACCGATAAAATTGCTACAATCTTCACAAACCTCCATTTTGAAAATAGTAGATTAATTTACTTCCAGACTGATTGAATGTAGTTTCCATACTGCCAATAAACTTTAAAGTAAGTAATGTTGTTATAAAATTGTTCATTAAATATTCATACATAATACTAAGTGATTCTACAACATATTTGCTTTTTATAATACTGACCAGCGTCTGGATCAATTATTATGATATACAACCACAAATTAACAGTAGTTTAATTATTCATTATAATCGTATATAGAATCATTTATTGTTAACAAATCTTATACAGAAAAAAAATTTGTGAAGTTAGAAAGTAAATTCATAAACAGTTGATAAAATTTTAGTTTATTATGATTTCACTCATTAGGTAACGTAGTTTATCGCTTAGATTGTTTCAATTTACCACAGAATACTTACTTATCAGTATCAGGTCGTGGATTGGTTGACGTTAGACATTAACAAAGTTAGATGACGACTCAGGAGTCTACAAGTTAAGAGTTCGCGAGAGAGACCGAAGGTTTTTGGTTTGAATCCCGCGCACCGGATCGTGGATGCGCTGTGCTGAGGAGTCATACACTAGGACGGAATGGCTTTCCAGTACTTCCAGGTTTTCAAGGGTGATCTAAAATTGGTCGATCCATGATCTCAACCAAAGATCTCGATGAGAATACTTAA